TGTTTGAATGGAAAAATAAGAATTATAAAATCTATTCAATTACTCCTTCTTTGTATAAACTTTAATTATTAAAAGAATATTAAAAAGTCAATATAATCATTTTGATTCTTCTCATGTGTTAAAATATTGAACATATACCATGGAATATTTTGAATGTTTTTTCTGTAAATAAATTTTCATAGTTTTAATATTCTAAGGAGAACGCGAATAATCTCATTAAATATTTTAAATGTTCAATAAATATGATTGTATTACACCAAGTCCATGTATAATCACTTATTTGTTCAACCATCGTAATAGATTTGATCAGTTCATCTTCAATAATAAAAAGTAATGAAATTGTTTCTTTGTTTGTCAATTACAATAACTTCATCACTGTTATAAACGGAAATATAATATAAGAATTGTTGTTAAAAATAGCATTATGTTAGTTACATTTTGAGCAGTGATGTATTATACTGGATAGAAAACTATTTTTGACTGAAAAATATATGATTATGCATTGATTATATGCACTCTCATTGATATTACCTTTGTCATATAGTATCTTATAAGAATATATACTCTTTCATACATCACGATCAACTAATAGCAATACAACATGAACTTAGTGTTCTACATTATCCCTCATTCTTGAGAAAGTATTTATTAAAAGATTCTGATTGATTTTCATTTACATTCACTTATATTGATATTTATGCATGTTTTTTTATTCGTAATAATCATGAATATTAAGACTAATCTTTATATATATATATTGAGCACAAAAATTATCATTAATTCAAATATATCGCAACAATACCACTGATATGAACTAGTTTTGCAATAAATTATCTTATCATATACATATTTCTTTTTTTTCTCGATTAAAACTATTAATATTTGTATGATATCGTTTTCAATTATTTCCTTTTACTTAAAATTTATAGCTCATGCTAGATAGTAGTACTATCTTTTATTTACTGTTGGTACTTCTTCTCTGTGTATTGTCCACCGGATTAGTTATTAATATACTTCATAAGTATATATATGACTACATCAATTGTTGTTGTGAAAGTATATTTCATTTTACGTTATACTTTTCCAATATTAGTATAACATATTAAAGTCATCTTGACAATAAATAAGTCAACTACTATAAAAAAAAAGTAAAAAATATGTACTAATAGATCTTAACGATTTTCTAGATAGTGTTTGATGTCATATTTTTTTCTTAAGTCTCTCAATAATGAATGATTAAAAGGACAACGAATATTTTTACCATTTACAATAAAACCTTTATCGTTCCACTGATTATATTCTTGTACCAAATCTTCTGCCCATATTTCTAAACATTTAAATTGTTTATCAGGTGATCTTGTAGTCACGAAAGAACAAAATTTTTTATCTTTTTCACACATTTCAACAAATAATTGGCCATCGGGTGCTAAATTCTCTCGAGGTTCGACTGGTAATGAAAATCCTTGTAAAATAAGTTGACCAGCTTGTCGAATTAATTTTATAACTTCATCTTTTTTTATACCATTGGCTCGTTCATTGATTGGATAATAAAGACCTTTAATATACGGAGTACCACTTGTCATATATTGTTCAAGATATGAAGTAAATTTAAGTTCTTTATTATTTAATTTCCATGATCTTAAACCTCCAACATTAATTGAAACTGATCCATCAGACAAAAATGTTTGATACATCTGACCAGTACCTGGTCCAGTGATATGAATATCCATTTCACGTAAAACTTTTAGTTGAGCAATAAAATCATTCTCAATTAGTTCATATGTTGGTGGTCGAGAATCAAATGGTGTTGCATTGATTTGAATTGAACTCATATTTTGTGCCTTAACTTGTTTATAATAAAGATATGTGACATTAATTAAGGGCCACTCTAATTTATTTGTATTATTTTTAGTCTTATTTATATAAAAATTAGTATAATTATTTATTTCAATAATTGCAGCATTAATTTCTCTTCGATCATTTTTTGTAAAACGTTTATTATCAATAAAATATGTCTGAAGAATATCATGAGATGTTCGATACTCTAATGACGATTTCTGTCTAATAACTGGATGAATAAAACCATGTTGTTGATACATTCGATCACGAAAAAGTCTTGAAGCATTAAATTCAATACCACCACTTAATTGGTAATTTGGTTGTGTACAACGTTGACAAAAAGTTCCACTACCCATAACAACTTCATCAAATACAAACCATCGTCCTTTTGAAAGTTTGTTTAAAACAAATTGTTTGATAATTCCAAGACCAGCAAAACGACTATAAACATCTTCACTCCAACAGTCTTGACATTCACCAATATCGGCAAGAATACGAAATGGATGAAGATGTCTAGGTGAAAATCGAATTAATGCAACATAAGCTGGATAAAGTCCATCAAAAAGTGCATGACCAATATTATGAAGCCATAATTGACCAAAATATAGAGTAACATACGGAATTCTTCTTGGATTAGTAATATTTCGAACAAATATCTGAAGATGATTATATGAATCAAATTCACGTTTAATTGGTTTTGTAGGCCACATATAAAAAGCATTAGTTCGTATAGAATATTCAGGTAAATAACTTCCTTTTACTATTAGAATTGTAAATGTATTATCAACATAATATAGATTTTGAAACAAACAAGATTGATTATATAATGAACCTATACATTGAACTTTTGTTTCTAATGTTCTATTCGTATAAATTAATATTGAATTTGTAAAAGTTAAATTATATTTATTAGTTTCATTTGTTAATGATTTTGTAGATATTGTAAAATTTTGACTATTAGTAATATTTGATATAAATGAAGTTTGTATGTTAATATTTTTCATTTTGACTATGAAATATAACATGATACTGATAGATATGATGGTAATAGAGATCAAAATCTGACGAATAATTAATGAATGGCTGACTGATTTTGTTTGTATTTGATTTGACATGATCGATGATAATTAGAAATTCTTGTAGCAGAATAAAGTAGAGTTTTTCAATCAATTTCTTTATATCTGAAAATAAAACTTATATAGATTTCCTATGATCTATGTATATTTTCAGTACCGATATACCAATGTAGTTACAGAACTAAAGATATATTTGCATATGGATAGTGTGAGGACGCAGGTAAATAAATATTAGATGAAATACATTTTTATTCTATAACATTGGAATAAAGAGATCTATATTACTGATAAATTCTTTGCAAGTCAAAGTGTTAAATATTGGTATAGAAATATATATCCAAAACAATCACTTCTCTTTCGATTATAAATGAACGAGGTTTAATTAATAATTAACAAAAAGCATCACAATGATATAGAGTCAATTTCTTAGTGAGTTTCTGAAATTTTTTTTCTGTTGCTATTAGAGTAACTAAAACGAGTAAATGTTTGAGTTGTTACATTGTAGAGCAATAACTCAGATTTTATAAAAATAAAATACATCATATTGCATTTATTGCTTCTTTTTATCAGCAATAAAAATATGTTTACAAATAAATGTTATTTCCATTCTCAATTGTGAACATTTTAAAACTATTTAACTGTATCTAAATATACATGCTAACGATGTAGAAGAATTCTGAAAAAGCAAATATAATATACGTTAAAATATCGAATGACAAAGAGAGATAGATCTGTTTTCTATACTACATACTCTGACACATGTTGATACGGTGTGATACAACATATCAGACAGTATGCTTTTTTCTGTTTCAAGATAATTTTTGATAAGAAAACAACACTTTTTTTAATTTTAATCGCAATAATGGAAAAGCGAAAAGAAGCAAAAGCAAATTTTAATCAAAAAGATACTGAGACTATTGTAGTGTTTTCTAGTAGATACTAACTAATTATACTTTTTGTCTTAGATGTAACTAATGATTGAATATTATAGATAATGATATCTGTGAAAGTATCTATCCATGCGTACATTGAATATGAAAGAAAGAAAAAGAAAAAAAAGTATATGTTGCACGCTGTTTACGTTAGAAATAGTTATTCAGAAGGAGAAAAACAGTCATATGAGTGATTTTCTTTTATAATATTTCAAGGAAAATGTCTGTATTAATTACAAAAAGTTTTTTATACTGAACTTGTTAACTAAAGAATAATCATTTGAATTGTTAGTTGAGAACCTTAGACATAATTGAATGTCATCTCAAAAAATCTGATCTTACTCATAACTAAGGTAACATGCAGCTTATATTTTAGTCATTTTTAACTAGATTCAGTATTCGCTTAAGAAAAGACAATTTTCAATGTTTACATTTCAAATATTAGAGATTTATTAAATATTTTATAATCATAATCAAATGTTCATGATTTATTTAGGAGGCTTCATAAAATTTGATTATAATAAATGTCATAATCTAGATTAGAAAAATATGATCAGTATTAAAATAACCAGTTGTTTCCAACATAATCTTATTTATTTCGTTTAAAATCTGAACAAAAACATTTTTCTAAACTCTTTCTAACTTGT